TTTGAGAATTTCCATTTAGCTCTTTTTATTACATCCATTTTTCTCTGAGATTTCCTATCTTTTGACTCATTGTGGGCATATTTTCATTTATTTCATTGATAATAGTTATAGTCATTGTTTTTAAAATACTTATCTGTTAATGCCAACATTTGGGTTATTTGGGGTTCATCTCTGTTCATTTTGTTTTCTCCTTAATAATGTTCCATTTCCTGGTTTTTCATATGTCCTGTAATTTTAGGTCCTATCTTAGACATTTTGAATGTTAAATTGTAGAGACTGTTATTATTATTTTTTAATGAATGTTGTTTCTTTTGTTTTAGTAAGCAATTTTATTAGTTGGACTCAAACTACGTACTCTGTTTCTTGGGTGGCAGCTCTGATCTTAGTTCAGATCTTTTGTGTTTAGGCTGTTGAGTATGTTCTGACTATGAGATTCAGGGACCAGTCAGAAATGTGGTGGGACAGAATCTGGGGTTCCCTTTCTGGCTTTTTCCCTTCCAGGATTTCCTCTTTTTCTTTAGGGGCCATGGTTTACCTGGGTTTGGTCTTCTAGTTTTCCAGGCCATAAAGGCTACAGTTTTATTTGTTTACTTTTTTGTACTGGTACCCTTGCCACTCCTCATGCCACAGTGCCTAGGCCCAGGCTAAAGGCATTGACAATACTCACAGCTCCACTCCTCTCAGTATGGATTTCCCACCAGACTTTGTCTGCTTCTGTTCACTCTGTAGTGCTTTCAGGTAGCTGTTTTTGGTATTATGTCCACAGTTTATTATGATTATCTGCAGGAGTGTTGGTCTAGTAGGATCTTACTCTGCCATTACTGGAAATAGAATTCAAGTTTTAGTACTTTCAGATTACTTTGTGCAAGCACTTTATGTTTTAATAGGATTAACAATTTGTTATAGATAACTTTGTAAGTCTGTTGTTTGGTTTTTAAATTTTGTTTTAATATTTACGGTACATAGAAATTTTGTATCTTGATGTAATTAAATAGGTAACTTTATGATTTCTTCTCTTAAGTTTTGCTTAAAAATCCTTTTTTTTTTTTTTTAAAGATTGGCACCTGAGCTAACATCTGTTGCCAATCTTCTTTTTTTCCCCCTTCTTCTTCTCCCCAAAGCCCGCCAGTACATAGTTGTATATTTTAGTTGTGAGTACCTCTGATTGTGCTATATGGGATGCTTCCTCAGCATGGCCTGATGAGTGGTGCCATGTCCGTGCCCAGAATCTGAACCAGCGAAACCCTGGGCCACTGAAGCAGAGCATGTGAACTTAACCATTCAGCCATGGGGCCAGCCCCTTAAAAAATCCATTCTTATTCAAATATAAGAGAATATATAGCTAGATTTTCTTCTATGTTTTAAATGGTCCTAGTTTGTACATTTAACTTTTATCTATTTTGAATTTATTTTAGTATATGGTGTGGAGTGAAGATCTAATTTGCTATTTTTTCCAAAGAGTAAGGTAATTTCTTAAATATAATGTGTGAAGCTGATCCTGTTTTTAATAGTAATCACAGTGTTTTCATTTTGGAAAATTAATTTCTAACTTGTTGAAATTTAAGGTGAAAATATATAGCATTAACAAGCTATATCAAAATAGTGGGCAAAGTTTGGGGAAGAAAGGCTGAGTGTGAAAGATGAAACTTTGTTTTGTTTGTGAATAGCAACACATCAAACCACCATCACAGTCTACTTTTTAGATGTTGCCATGTATGCCTAGCTGAATTAATTAATCAGTCAATCTCTCTCTCGCTTTCTCTTGACCATGTAAATGGTGCTACAGCAGAAGTAGAAGTAATAATTATTATCAAGCATTAGCTGCTATAATTGTAATCATAATCCAAGGGCTGTAGAAGTGTTAACGGCTATAATAATGATAAATATTAATACTCAGATAGTAATAAATGCTATAAAGGAAGGAGACAGTGCTACGAGAGAGTTGAATGGAGCAAATAGCCCTGGTTATGGACATCAGAAAAGGTGTTCTTGAGAAAGTAATAATTAAGTGGAGGCTTGAAGGAGGAGTAGAATTAACTACATAAACTATGGGAAGTAGATAATGACAGGGAACCTGGAAGTTGGCAAAAGAAGCAAGAAATGTGAGGGACCCAGGGCAGGGAAGAGGGTAACCCTTTGGAGAACTGAAAGACCAGTATGGCCAGAGCTTAGAGAGCGAGGGGCAGCAGGATGTGGGTTGAGGCCAGAGAGGTGAGTAGGACCAAAGTATGCAGGCTTGTAAGTTACAGAAGGGTGTTAGTTTTTATCCTAAGAGTAATGGGGAGTCATGGAAAGATTTTAAGCAAGAGAGTAATCTGATCACATTTGCATTTGAAAAAGAGCAGGCTTGTTAAAGTATGAACGTATATTGGAGGAAGGCAAGAGTAGGTATAACAAGACCAATGAGAGATTATTGCAATAATTCCAGTGAAATAAGATGATGGCTTGGCACCATATGTGGATATATGAAGGGATGGATGACTGGATGGATCAGTGATGTGTAATCTAGGTTGAGCTGGCAAGACTCATGGACTGTGATCTTAAAGCAACTTAATCCTGTCTCCCACTGTCCCTTTAAATTTGCTCAATTGGATTTGTTCTTTTGCCCCTGGAGGAAAACATGAGCCGACCTTGGTGTTTCTGGTTTGTCTTGGATCACACAGAGAACCTCAGCGTAGTAACTGCAACAGCCAGTCCCACAGAGTTGTCAAAGCTGTAGGCCTGATTCAAATGAATCGTGTTCCCTCACGCAGTTAGGGCCCGTTGCAGGCAAGAGTAATAACAGGGCACAGATGGCTGCTTCTCCCTTTCCCCACTTGGCACTTCGCTCCTTCTTCATTTTGCAAACTCAGTTCCTGACTCCTCCAGGAATTGGAGTGCACAGAGGAAGGAGGGAAAGAAAGAGGAGCATGAAAATTCCTCTTTGACCGGCACTGCCTGAGGTGGAAACTGCATCCATGGGCCTTCCACGTGTCTGAAGGGTTTCCTTCCATGAGAGCCCTTGTTGGGTTTGGATCTCATCCCATAGTTCTTTGATGAGGGCAAGTGTGTCTCCATCTCGACTGATTGCTTGTTCCATCTTCAGTCCCTGGGACTCTGGAAATAGAAAAGGAAAGCCTTCTCTGTTAATGTCTGTTCATTCTCCCAGGTGGCCTTCTGGGGCAGGAACTGAGATGACACACATGTGTGTTTGCATGTATACACACACACGCACACACACACTTGCTCTTTCTCACATGGCCCACGTCTGATTCACATGAAATCCACATTTCCCTGATGATTCTGATGGAGTGAGGCAACAGTCCTCATGACCCCCTGCTAACACACACACACACACACACACACGCACACATACACACACACATACACACACATACACACACACACACACACCTTTTTTGGTCAGTGGTTAGCCAGCTCATCTCTGATCTGCAGGATTCCTGTTTGGGAGCCAGGCACCAATACATCAGGCGGCCAGTTGCAGGGGTGTCTGTCAGGTTCCCTGAGTAGAACCAGTGCGGCTCAGGGGGCTTGAGGGGAGGAGTGGGCATCCCCAACCCCACCTGGTGCTCGGGTTGGGGCTCACAGCCTATCAGAAGCTCTTCTCCAAAAATATTCTCCTCTCCTCTGCTTTCTGGACCTAGATGTAGGTAAAGAGTTTAAGTTTGTCTAACCAGTTCTCATTCAACCACTAGTTTTTAGCAATCAGAACAGGGTAGTCTGTCTTATACCCGCTTTGGTGTCTCATAGCTGTTGTTTAAGGATTTCAGCCCGAATGCTTTTTGCCGTCCTGTTGTGGAAGCATGGGTGATGCGTGTGTGTAAGTCACATACACAGTAGGGACGGGTGTGCAATTGCACACTTGCTGGTGATGAGCACTGCAGTAGGGGCTTTCTGACCTGTTGGTCTAACCCTTGTAGCAACACCCCTAGTAGATATGATTGTTCCCATTTGACAGATGAGAAAGTAGAGAGTCAGAGTAGTAGGGGGCTTGTCTGAGGCCCCGTGGGCAGGACGTGAAGGAGCGGGGACTTGCGCGCTGCGCTTCTGGATCCCAAACCTCTGTTCACATCAGGTTGCTCCTGCTCTGCATCTTGGCACTCTGAGGTTATTGGGCCCTGGGTCGTGGGATCATTTTAACTTTGGCAATTTGTTTTTGAACAATTTTCCAATTACTTATTCTTGCTAAGACTTTAAATCTGTACTGGATTTCTGTTGTTGCCATAGCAAATTACTACAATCCCGATGGCTTAAAACAATACAAAGATAGGCTGCTAAATTCTGTAGCTTAGGAGCCTGATGCCGCTAAAATGGAAGTCTCAGCAGAGCTGCGTTCTTTCTAGAGGCTCCAGGGGCAAATCCATTGTTTGCCTTTTCCAGCTTCTAGAGGCTGCCTGCATTCCTTGGTTTGTGGCCCCTTCCTACATCTTCGGAGCCACAATGGCACATCTCTTTGGTCCTTCTTCTGTCATCACGTCTTTTTTCAGTCTGCAGCTGGGAAAAAGTCTCTGATTTGAAGAAGTCCTGTGATTAGATTGGGCCCAGCTCGATGTTCTTTCTCATCCCAAGGTCCATACGAGTCCCTTTTAATCACATCTGCAAAGTCCCTTTTGCCTCATGAGGTCATGTATTCATAGAGCCCAGGGATTTATGTGGACACTGTGAGGGCCTTTATTCTGCCGACCACGGCAATCGAGCGCTTCACATAATGAATTTGAAACAGTTATTTCATGGACGTTAGAATTTTAATCCAACCCTTTTGTTTCTTCATTCACTGTGTGCTACTCCTAACAGAATGTAGAAACATGGAGATGTATAATCGGTTTGATTTTTCCTTGCTTTTTAAGAATCAATTTATAGTACTGTTTTACTAAATTATTTTGTTTACCTTAGATTTGAAACTTCATGTAAGGTCATTGCCACCATTTCAATTCAATCTTAAGCATCTAGCCTATGCAGAAAAACTGTTTAAAATAATATTTGTGTTTTTTTAAATCCAGATTTGGACTTAAAACCACTGCTAAAGTCAATTGGAAGCAATTTCTAACATCACTTTATGAGTCTCCATGGTTGGAAGTTAACAATATAGTTCCTCCGACAAAAAGAAATAGGTATGTTAAAAAAAAAAGAACTACATTTTAGTTACACTTATCATAATATGTAAAAGGTTAGAGAATATCTGAATTACTTTTTCTTCATTTATTGAATGAAGTTAGTCTTCACTGAATAGTCACCACCTTTTACATAGTGATTTAGTTTGTAAATCATTTTCCATACATTTTTCTTATTTAAAATTGCCTTAAACTATAAGGTAGGCATAATTGTTATTCCAATTTCTAGATGAAAAAATCAGACTATAAGGGGTCTTAACTAGGTCATAGTTAAGTGAGTTGCGGAGGCAGGAATGGAGCTCACACGCTCTGGGTGTGCACACCGACCCCGCCAGCACTGCTCTCTGAGCTTTAAGCGTATTCTTGTGAAATTGTGTATAAATGCGTATCTGCTCAGTGCTTTATGGAAGGGAGCAATACGTGCTAGCTTGTTTCCCAACCACTGTGCGTGGCGCAGAGTTTCTGGGTCACAGGGACTATTTGCCTTGAGCGCCATTATTTCTGTTTTCATCTAGCATCTGTGATGACTTCAGATTTACATTATCACATAAATTGTGGTGGGGGCCCCCACATGTAAAAAAGTGCTTAATAATATGACATTTTAGAATTTAGACTTTTGCTCCAGGAAGCGTTTTGTTTGTGTTGATGCGCGTCCTGTATCGATTACTCTATATAAATCTTAAAGAAAAAGACCAGCTTTAAAATCTCGGCACGTTCATTGAAAGCACTACGCTCTACTGTAAAGTTAAATATACCACGGAGTTAATTCCCATTTCACTAGGTCCTATCCCCATCTCACGGACTTGTGAATATTTAATGAGCTGCCCTGGTTACCAGCCTTCCATGTATTCAGAGCTCCCCTAAACTCCGTTCCTGGGATGCAACTCTATGAGTTCATTTCTTGAGTGACATTACTTCTCTTTCTTTATAATTTTCTTATCTGATAGCACCTTGTCCAGGACTGTAGGAATTAAAGCATGAATTTTATTTACTTTCAAACAGTGGTTCTCAACTAGGGGCACTCTTGGCCCCCAGGAGACATCTAGCAACGTCATGAGACATTTTTGGTTGTCACAACTGGGGTGGAGGGGCTTCGGATGTCTAGTGGGTAGAGGCCAGGGATGCTGCTAAACATCGCACGGTGGAGGGGACAGCACCTCCGGCCCCTCCTCCCACACACACACTCAAGAACTATCCAGCCCCAATGTCAGTGGTACTGAGGTCGAAAGAAACTGCTGCAAAAAGTATCTGTTGATGCCAGTGCTAGTGGTCTTTAGAAAACCTTGTTCCAACGAGTCACGTGAGGAACTCAGACTCAATAATTTTGCCAGTTTGTATGTTGCTTAAAAGTGGTGGTGGTAAGTGTGTTTATTTTTGCACAGCTGGAGAAATGTACAGAGATAATTTTCTGTCTATTAAGATGGCTGAATAGATGCAGCAATAAAACCCTCAAACAAATGTGAGAATCCTTCAGCAGCTAAGCTGATACACTGTCATTCTTTATCTGGTAGGAAATGTCAGACTTTCTAATGGAACACTGGAAAGGGGAGGCCAACAGGAAGATTTTGTTATGAGATGCTGCAGCCCCCTTTCTGATCAGAGCACCCAAGGCTTTGATCTCCAAAGTGGGTGATGGTAGGCCTCCAGGGGCGCATGTGCAGGCAGATGGACCTGCGCTCAGGGGAGGAAGGCAGGAGGCAAGAAAGGGAGCGGGGTCTGCCGCTTTGTGTGGTCCTGGCCATTGCCAGTGGAGAGGGCGGGGTTGTAAAGGTTGATGTCCCTGAGTTCTCATGTGGGTGAGTGTGCTACAGTGTGCAGCCCATACATGCAGAGAGGGGATGATCTCAGCGGTGATCGTGGTCTCCTTCCTGGTGTTTTTTGAGACCAAAGGCACAGACTGGCAAGATGGCCGGCCACAGCTAGTCGGCAGGGGGAGAGGAGCGTGATGGCGCAGCAAAGCTAACTCACGCCAGAGGTGGGGGCGGTGGGGGAATTGCCTCCAGGCCATCTCCCTTGTTAGGAATCACACTAACATGTCTGTAACCCAAGCATCTTAGGCTCTCAGGAAAAAGGGCTATCCACAAGTAAAGCGTTATCAGAGTTGTTGTGAGGGTGATTTTTTTTCTTTTTGCACTAAGAAAGAATAAAGTTCAAGAACATAATCTTATTCCTGTTTTCCTCTTAATCTTCTTGTAGCATCAACTCTAGAAATAAATCTTGCAAGGAAAACATTATCACAAAATTATTTAGACATGAAGATCGCTATGCATTGTTGAAGAAAGCACTGCTGCTCACCAACGCTGTAAGACTTTGAAACCCTTCTCTGGTGAAAACTTGTTGTTCCTAAGAATGCTAACACTCAGGGCGAGACCAGTAAAAATTTTATATCCATTCATTTATCCATCCAACAAACACTTTTTGAGTTCCTGTCATATGCTAGGAATTATTCTGAGTGCTTAGGGATACAAGGCCTGACCTCAAGAGTTGGGTCTAGTTGGGAGGACAGGAAAATTTGCTGCGATACAGTAAGAGAGATGCCAGGTGATGAGAACAACGTGTGGTGAGATCGTTAAGAATGGGGTGACTAGTCATTAATTGTTTAATTAACGGATAATTCAGACCTGTTGAAACTTCCCCCGCCCCAGCCTAGAGTTGATGGGTTCTCAACCAACTTGTAGCCATAACAGGAACATTTTCTTAGCTCCAAAATGGCCTATTTCGTTGTTTAATTGTACTGCAAAGCGAGGCTTATTCATGAATTTACAACTTGCTTTGAACATTAGCTCCTGTCCCACTTTCGCGTTTATTTTAGAAAGCGACATTTGGATACTTTGATACACAGCGACATTTCCCAAGTTTGTTGTTTACTAAGCAAGTTCCGTAACTGAATTCCTGGTAAATAGGGAGGAGGGCCCTGAGTTCCTTTGCCTCAGACTCAGAGATGACCGCGCACAAAAGAGAACCTCCTTGGCTTCCGCGTCAGCCTTCTGGAGCCCTCTAACCTGGGGCGGGCTGAGCTCGAGGGCAGCGCTTGGGTGGAGGGCCGTGTGGCCTGGAGGCACTTAAAGGTTTGGCAGTTTGCTCTCTGTCCCGGAGGCCACAGCTCCTCGCCTCTGTCAGTGTAGCATGCCATTGCTGAGGGTTTCTGAGCAGAGTAAAGGTTCAGAGATTTGGGGTCCTGCCCTCCTGGGGGAGATATTTTAGCTGGCATACCTGTTTTAGTTAATCCCTAGGCCTATATGACCCGGTCTCTTCCATTGAAAGAACAGTGATATTGAGCGCTATGTGCCGGCACCATCTTACAGTGATTTACTTGTTTTCACTCACTTCAGCCTCTCAGCACCCCTTTGAGGGAGACACTCTTATTATTCTCATTTGATCCTCGTTTGCTGAGGAAAGGGCGCATGGGGTTAAGTAACCAGCCCGAGGCTCCCAGCTGGTGAGTGCTGGAGCCAGGATTCAAACCCACTGCTCCAGGGCTGGCCCAGGGCTGAGCTGCCCGCGGTGTGCTAGCTGGGCCCCCTCTTAAAGATAAATGAAAGCCCTTCTGTGTTTACCCACCTCAGCTTCTATTAGTGTATTGAAGAAGCAATTTAATTAAAAATAGTGAACTCTTCATCTCCGTTAATGGAGGACTGTAATAATGCTAACCACTTCGAAAATTAGAGCATTTAATAGTCATTGATGTACTGCTCAACAACCAGAACTGATCAACAAGCACATAGTGTAGGTGAGGAACTGAGTGCCTGCCCCATGCTGGGCCCTGCCCTGGGCGCTTAGGCTGAACACAGAGACGAATAATGCAAGGTCCCTGCAACTGGTGAGCTCGCAGTCTGGAGTTTCACATAACAGCGATGACCAGCAAGTGCCTGAGAGTTGCAGAGGGCATGGTTTCCCAGGGGACCCCCCCACCCCCCACCGTTTGCTTTCGTCTTGACCATGTTCTGGGACCTGGAAGGAGAAGGAGAGCAGAGGGAGAGAGCCAGGAGTTGGCAGGGCTGGGCCTTGTGCCTGGCTGCAGAGGACAGCCATGGGAAGCAGGTCCTTCTCCTGCTAGAGAGAGGGACAGAATTATGAGAAGAAGGACTCCTTTAGATCTGCTCCAAGTCATGCATCCCAAGGAGCTGTGTGTGCTGCCTCCATGCACTGCCACCATCTCTCTAAGTGGGCCCAGGCACCCCAGTCACTCTCATTTAAATCAGATGTGGTTCACTTTTTATCACCCAGAAAGAATTCGTACCCTGCCTATTCACCCACTCTTATTCTTAGTGTTATTATTTGTAGCTCACAAGAGTTTATAAATAGAAAGTCTAAAAGAACTTCCAAAAAAATCTTAGAATTAATAATAGAATTTAAAAGGTGATTGGATACAAGGTCAATATGCAAAGATTGATAATATTTCTATAAGCTGCAACAAACAATTATAAAAGAATTTTTAAAAAATCTTTTCTGATAGTTTAAAAAATCAAATACCTATAAATATATCTAACAAAAATGTGCAAATTTCCTTACTGAAGACCACAAAGATTGCTTGTAGAAATAATACCAATCCTTCACAAGCTTTCAGAAAGTATAGGAGGAAGGAGTCCTTCTCAACTCTTTCTCTAAGACCAGTATTACCCTATTACCAAGGCCAGAAAAAGAGATCACAGGAGAAGGAAACCACAGACCAATACTCTTCATGAATATAACTGCAAAAATTCTCAAAAAAATATTAGTGAGCCAAATTCAGCAACATATAAAAAGGATTAAATACTATGACCATGTGGGATTTATCCTAGGATTGCAAGCTTGGTTTGACTTCCACAAAATCGATTAATGTAATACACAATATTAATAGAATTAAGGAAAAAACCATATGATCATCTCAATAGATTTAGAAAAAGTATTTGAAAAATCCAACACTCATTCACGATCACAATTGTCAACAAACCAGGAATAGAAGGGAAATTCCTTAACCTGACAAAGGGCATTTATGATAAAGCCACAGCTAACAGCATAGCTAATGGTAAAAAGACTGAATTCTTTCCCCCTAAGATCAGGAAAAATGCAAGAATGTCAGCTCTTGTTACTTCTTTGCAATATTGTACTAATGTTCTAGACAGTGAAATCAGGAAAGATAAGGAATAAGAGACATCTAGATTAAAAAGGAAGACATAAAACTGTCTTTCTTCACAGACAATGTGATCTTGTAATGGAAAATTCTGACAAATGCACACACAAACTGCTAGAACTAATAAATTACCTCATCAAGGTTGCAGGATATAAGATCAATATACAAAAGTCAGTTATATTTCTATAACTAGCAATGAACAATCTGAAAACAAAAGCAATTCCATTCATGATAACATCAAAAAACAAAATACCAGGAAGTAAATTTAGCAAAAGAAGTGCTAGACTTGTACACTGAAAATTACAAAACATTGTTAACAGAAACTAAAGAAAATGTAAATAAATGAAGAGACATTCTATGTTCATGGATTGGAAGACAATGCTATTAAGATGGCAGTTCTCCCCACTTTGGTCTGTAGATTCAAAGCAAACCCCATCAAAATCCCAGCTGGCTTTTTTGGTAGAAATTGAAAAACCGATCTTAGAATTCATATGGAAATACAAAGGTTGCAGAATAGCTAGAACAACCTTGGAAAAGAAGAATGAAGTTAGAGTACCTAAACTTCCAGATTTTGAGTCTTAGTAAAGCTAGAGTCATAAAGACACTGTCGTACTTGCATAAGGATAGACATATTGATCAATGGAACAGAACTGAGAGTGTGGAAATAAACCCTTATGTTTACGGTCAATTTATTTTTGACAAATTCAATGGGAGAAAGGAAAATTTTTTCAACAAATGATGCTGAGACAATTGGGTATCCCTATGCAAAAGGTGAATTACCTTATACCATATACAAAACTTAGCTAAAAATGGACCACAAACCTAAATATAAGAGCTAAACGAGAAAACTCTTAGAAGACAAATGTATACATCTTCGTGACCTTGTGTCGGGCAAAGATCTCTTAGATATGACACTAAAAGCATGCTCTGTTAAAAAAATCAATAATTGGGCTTATCAAAATGGAAAACTTTTGTGCTTCAAAAGATGCCATTAAGAGAGCAAAAAGACGCCACACCCGGGGAGAACATGTGTGCAAATTATATATCTGGCAAAGGATTTGTATATAGAATATATAAGAATTCTCAGAACTCAATAAGAAGACGACTCAGTTTAAAAAATGGGCAAAAGATTTTAATAGACCTTTCACCAAAGATGATATGAGAATGGCCAATGAGCACATGAAAAGATGCTCAACATTGTTAGACACTAGGAAGATGCAAATCAAAACCACAGTGAGAGGGGTTGGCCTGGTGGTGTAGGGGTTAAGTTCCTGGGTTCTGCTTTGACAGCCCAGGGTTCGTGGGTTCAAATCCTGGGTGTGAGCCTACACACCGTTCATCAAGCCATGCCATGGCGGCATCCCACATGCAAAACAGAGGAAGATTGGCATGGATGTTAGCTCAGGGACAATTTTCCTCAAGCAAAAAGAGGAAGATTGGTAAAAGATGTTAGCCAGGGCCAATTTTCCTCACAAAAGAATAAAAAGAAGGAAAAACCACGATGAGATCCCACTAGGATGGCTACAGTCAACCCACTTAGACAATAGTAAGTGTTGACGAGGATGTCAAGGTGGAACTCTCATACACTCCTGGTGGAAGTGTAAAATGGTACAGCTGCTGTGGAAAACGACGTGGTAGTTTCTTTAAATTTTAAACAGAAATTTACCACGTGATCCAGGAGTTCCACTCCTAGGTATCTGCCCAAGAAAAAAGAAAAACATACGTCCACACAAAGCCCTGTGTATAAATGTTCATAGCAATATTATTCATCATTTCCAAACTGGAAACAATGCAAATGTTCATCAACTTGTGACAAGATGAAATGTGGCATATCTGTACAATGGAATAAAACAGGAATAAAAGGGAACAAAATATGGATCCACGCTGCATTATGGATGAACCTCAAAAACATTATGCTAAATGACAGGAGCCAGATGCAAGACACATACAGATGCATATATTCTATGAGTCTGTTTCCATGAAATATCCAGAGAAAAGCAAAAATAGAGAGACAGAAAATAGATTCGTTGCCTTAGGTTGGGGATGGAAATGGGGAGTGACTGCAAATGGGCACAAAAATTCTTTTCAAGATGATGAAAGTGTTCTGGAATTAGATAGTTGCACAATGCTGTAAATTTATTGAAAATCATAAAAAATTATTTGTCAGTGATTCCTATTTGGAGATTAAAATTTTGATTATCCCTCTCAAACCAAAAAGTAAGCATGCATATATCCTCTAAATTATTTAATTTTCTCCAGGACACTCTTATATCCTGTTCAGATTTTGGACCCCAAAGTACTAGTTGACATTTATACACTGCCTTATCACTTAATAAGCCCTTTTGTCGCATTGATATTCACAGTATCTCTCTATGAGGAGGTAGAGGTTCTTTATTTCCCCTGTCTTTCCAGTAAACAGTCTCTCTCAATTTTGATATTTAATTTACTTATTGGTAATTTTTTATTCTGGTGGAAGAATTCGCCTCATAGTATTTTGCTCATAATACGTTTTCTTTATGCAGTGTGGCTGAAATTTTTCTTGCTAAGTAATTGTCCATTTAGGTAATTGATGAGGTCGGGGGTAGTAAAAATAAGCATAAGTAATATTCTTAGTAAATTGGCAAGTTGTAATTGAATTGCCGGGAAGTTTTGTGCCCCATGTGGCTGAACCACGTAGCCCTCAGGTGGGGTGGGCAGAAGGAACTCTTCAAGCCGCCTGTGGCAGCCAGCATTTAGCCTGTCCCCACCAAGGGGTCAGCCCATGCCCACCACATGGGCCCCTTCCCCCTCTCCTGCCGCGTCCTGGTGGAGCACTGTAGGAACTGCACTTGAAAGTTCCGGCGTGCCCCACCCCCACTGCCCTGGGCACGCGCGCCAGGTCATGATCATCAGTTGAGGTAGTCTTGTTTCAAATCATAATTCTGTTTGGCCAAAGCTCACTCTTTATCAAATGATGCTAAATATAGATAATGCTTTTCCTTCCTTTTTTTAAAATTCCCTTATATACCCTCGCATGCTCAGCAACCTGATGGACAGATAACAGGGGAAGAATTGCGACGTATTCTAAATTGCATGGTTGTAAAAATAAGTGATTCGGAATTCAAAGAACTAATGCAAATACTTGACCCTGGAGGCACCGGCTGGGTCAACGTCAACACGTTGGGTGAACTGCTGGAAGAGAAGGCTGCGGTAGGTCTGATAATAACTGCATGTTTGATTTCCTATTTATGGCAGGAAACTTGAGTGTTCTGAGTAAAATAAGGGATGCTCATGAAATAGGCTTTAAATAAATAAATGACTTCACACTTTTCAGTTGAGTTAATTTTCATTTTAAGCAAGAGTCAGGGGTTGTTTGATTTTAACTTTTAGTCTCTAAGTCTTATTGCAGGCTGGTAGTTGCCGTCCTTGGATGGCATCCTTCATATGCAGGCTGTGGCTTCTTCTCACAGGGCTGCAACTCACTCCTCACGTGACGATGTCTACAAGAGGTGTGTCTGGGAATCACCCCTCTGGTTTGTCAGTATTTTTAGAGTTTTTATGTTAGTTCACCTTTTTAAAAAATAACTCCTTGTTGCTTCTAGTGACTGACACTTGCTTTAAGTATTTGTTTCTTTTGACCGAAAAGTTAACATAGTTTTCTATTAGAAATGCTTCCCTATTAGCATTTAAAAATTTTAAGAACTTTAAAAAATCAAATTAGTTTCAGATAATCATGCAATAGCATTAACAAATTCTTGTTGAAACGTCTGTTAAGGACTTCTTTTAATAGGTACAGATTAGCTTTTCATTTGAATATGATGATTTCCTGAGTGCCCACCTTGTGCAAGGTGATAACCGTGTCCTAAACCAACATCAGCTGGTCCTTCTTGAACTCTCATCAAACCCGAGTCCCAGAGCCCTTTCACACGCAGAAACGAATCACTGCACCTGTTCCACCTGTTCCTGAACTCCGCTGTGGGGCAGACCCTGTGTTGACTCTCGAGAACCCTTGCCTCTGACCATCACAGCAACCTGCACACAGTTTTTTTATTTAAAAACAAAAATACAGCCGTGTAAGCAGTCTGCTCTCCACGGGCCAGTGGCACAATCTTGGCTGAATATCCATCAGATCCTGTCACCTCCGTGCTTTCGGGACTGGTAGGATAAGGCAGACCTTCCCGACCTGCGTGACAAGGTGCTCTGTGGTCCAGCCTTGCTGCCTCTCTCACTGTCTTCTTGTCCTTGGGCCTCAGGCTCCCTCCTCCATCCTTGGCGTGTGCTGCAGCTCCCTCCAGGATTCCCTTCCTGCTTCTCTTGTCTGTGACGGGTCTCAATGCACCTGACGTCTTCCCAGAGACCCTCTCTGACATCTGTGATGCAGCCTATCTCGTGTCATTGACCCCACACACCTGTCGAGTCATGGTGTCACTTGTGTGTCCCTATGTGGTCATACCTCCATGGCACACTCACAGAGTGATTTGTTGAGTGAATAATTAATATAAGTGAATGAATTAGAAAACACAGAAAAACACACGAGTAGAAAAAAATAAAAATCACCACTAATTCTAAAATAGAGGAATTGTTAGAAACTCATACTTTTTGTATATTTTTCCAAACCTCTATACACACACACACACACACACAAACTTTCTGAGGGCAGTTTTATTGAGGTATAATTGATACGCAAAAACTGCAAGTATTGAATGTGTACAATTTGATGTGTTGCATACATACTTTCATATATGACAGCTATTTTATTTTAAAATGAGATCATATAATTTATGACTTTTTAGTCATTTACTAACATATTGTTAACACTTAATGTCAATAAAAATTCTGCTATATAATTTTAAAAGATACCGAGTGACTATTTCCCTGTTGCTATGACCTGGGTGTTCATGGCGTTTTCCTTTTATAAATTTCACTGCAATGAGTGTAGTGCTGCCTGCTTTGTGGCATCACTCTGTGATTATTTCTTTAGTATGAATTTCTAGAAATGGAATTATTGGGTCAAAGAACATATACTTTATTTTTTTAATTATTTAAATTATTTTAAAAGAGGAATATACATATAAAGTACAAAATGCAAAGGATGCAAAGGGAATACGGTGAAAAGCGAGTTTTCCTTCCAGCCCTGTGCCCTCACCACTCCCCAGAGCAGGCCCTGTCACTCTCGACTCTGTCAATAATCAAAGTGACTAATATTATCCCTTGTCAGCACTGGCGACTTGCTTCCTTTTCCATTTTTGCCATTCTGATCAGCAAACATGCTGTCTCATTATTCTTTTGCTTTGCATTTATTTAATTTCTAGGTGACAATTTTTTTTCAAGTTTATTGTACTTTTTGTTACATGTTGTTCTCCCCATTTCCAGAGGAGGATTAGAGGGCACACGCTCCTGCTCAAGGGCTCAAAGCTGTTAGTCCATCGGGGGCAAAGCTGACAGTCCACGTCCTCTGCCTGCAAAGCCCCTGCCGCCTTTCTGAGTGATTTGTGTTTATTTCCTTTCTCTTTCCCAATTAGACGGGAAAAACCTCCTCCTGTGCAGACACCAAGGCGCCTCTCCTCCTGGCTTGGGATTCAGTAAGTAACGCTTTCCCGCGTGGTCCCAGGTGCTCCCGCCCCAGCTTACAAACGTGCGGCTTGGTAGACATGTTTGTTTTCTGTGTTAGGTGGAAGAAATTGTTCATGACGCGATTACTAGGAACCTACAAGCTTTCTATAATATGCTACGGTCATATGACCTCGGAGACACAGGGCTCATTGGTCGAAATAATTTCAAGAAAATCCTGCGCATATTCTGCCCATTTTTAACGACTGAGCATTTAATAAAGTAAGTTTTTTGGTAACAGAATTAATTCATGTCATGTTTTTCATCAAGTCTTTGATAATTCTAAATCTTTTTCTATGTATGTGTGCAATATTAGTAGGTAAGATTGCTAATAGCTACTATTTATGGAGTCCTTACTAACAGTGAACGTCGGCTGAGAGTTTGGCGTATGCTACAGGATTTAGTCCTCACACAGCCATACGAGGTAGCTCTTATTCCTTTCCACGGATAGGGAAACTGAGAGCTGGAGAAGTTAAGCACGTCCTCAAAGTCACACAGCTAGCGAGCAGTGGAGCCTGGCTTCCATCCCGAGTCTCCATGACCCTGGGCTCTTCATCCTCCTCCCGTTCGACCTCCCAGGTGTCTGGCTATGGTCAGCCATACTGTAAATGTAGCTTGAATTATATTTTTGTTTCACCTTAGTTTAAAACAATTTGTAACGGATGAACCGGAGCTGGGGAGCAGAGATACTAAGAGAAAGGAGAGAACAGTGTCTTGAAGGCCCCTGTGGGTCTCCTGCCACGTGTCTCTTTGACCCTGTGCACGTCTCACCTTGGGGCCTAGAGCCCGGTGGCTTCACTCTCTGCGGATGACCTTGAGAACCTGCCCTTCTGCAGAGGCTGATGCTCAAATGCCAGTGCCCAAACGCCCACTGTCCGCTCGGGCTCGCTGGACAGGACTCAGGCTGCACGGCCTCAGCAACTGTTTGGTCCAGGGTCCCCAGCGTGGGCAGTAACCTGGGAGATTACTCTAGGTGGAAATCTAGTCCACTCACAGGGGAGAAAGTTACTCTAATTCTCTTTCAGTCCTGCTGATTGCAATGTTACAAATTGTATCTGTGCCTGTTTTGTTGACGTGACAGTGATTTAAAGGGACCTGAGACACAACTGGTCTACTGGTAGCTGTTGGCCACCTGTGTCTCCTTTCTGTGGACGTTTGTGTTTCAGAGCCCATTTCTCCTCAGGTTGGTTTTTGTAGGAAAAGGAAGATTTTTCAGAAGAGGAGGGCGAGGCAGAGACTTGCTGAGCGGGAGAGGGTCACAGAGGGCCTGGTGTGCTCAGCTGCGCATTTGCGTTCATCCAAGTGTGTCAAATGTTTGCACAAAGATCAGTTTACTAGTGTGTTGACGAAACAGGCACGGGGAGAAACAAGTGACAGCAAGTCAAGAGAGAAGGTTCTAGAAAGAGCTCAGGGGAGAGGTAAGGGTCTGGGCTGAGGTTGAGGGGAGAGAAGCAAGAGGCCACGTTGACATCCCGTCTGCAGGGCCTTCGGTTGCTCATGGCCTTTGACGTGTGCAGTCACTCGAGGGGGGCCCAGCACTGATGGGCAGTCCACTTATTCCTGCACTTAGTCTTTCCCTCATTGAGTATCAGGGAGCGCCTACTGCATACCCGGTCCCACAAAATAGGTTTACAGGAATCCCATTATTTCCAGGGCAGTCAAATATGGAGGAAATAGATGCAGACAAACGTAGCGTGGCATATGAGCCCTATAGGAACTCATGCACAGGCTGGAAGAACACCGAGGAGGAGCGCTCCCCTATGCCGGGGAGATGGGGCAGGTGGCACCGCCTGTGAGGAGCTCCCTGGGGATGTGATGCGTGAGTCTGGAGAAGAAAGATCAGGGCATTTCAGGACACGGCATAGCAGGGAGAAGCCCAGAGGACTAGGGGTAGGTGGCACATTCAGGGAGTGGCAAGTCATGTGGGACTACTGGGCCAAGACGTTTTGTAGGAAGGAACAGTAGAGGGATGATGCCAAGGGTCAGGCAAGAATGACTGTGCACCTTACTGAGGAACTGGATTCATCTGGCAGGGCAGGAGTTCTCCACCAACATCTTAGAATCATCTGGAACGCCTTGAGAATCCGAATGCCCGTGCCCCGTCCACAGGCTGAGCGAGGCACTGTTATGTTAAAGTCCTTGCTGGCTCTGATCTGCAGCCACAGTTGAGAGGCACAGCGAGGGGGAGCCGGAGCCCGTGAGGTGGCTTTCAGTGGGGGCAGGTGACAGTTTCAGACTTGCACTTAGAACAGTCATTCTGGCTCCACACAGGGAGGAGGAAAAGGACGGGGGCCTGAAACGAGTAGTGGCAGTGCCCCCACGGAGGGGCGGCCGCTTTGTGGTAGTAGAGGGACAATAGTAGAGGTGGCCGCAGACGTGGAGGGGACGGAAAAGCAGGCAAGGGAGTCTCTGGTGACAGCCAGCGGCTGCTCAAGCAGCCGAGTGAGAGGCAGTGCCGTTGCCAGTTAGGAAACACAGGAAAAGTCAGCAAGTCAGGGTGAAGACACCCAAGGGAGACTCCAGGAGGGTGTGGGGCTCGGAGAGGAGTCTGGACGGAGATGCGATGCCGGAGTTGCAAGGCGTCTGGAGAATGTAGTGTTGAGAAAAGGGTTCTAGTGTATTGGTTGTGTCGGCAACTGGCTGTTTGAGATCCATTCGCCATGAGGTAGCCAGGCTTTGTCTGACCTGCAGCGTGATGGCGTTGAAACCCTGCTTAAAGCGCTTGGGCGTCCTGTTGCCATGAGGAAAACATCCGGAGCGTGGCTTCCCAGGCCCTCGTGGTCCTCGCACCTCTCCAGGGCTTGGGCTCTGCAGCCTGACTGGCTGGACTCACATCCCGGCTCGACCCTGGCCTAGCTGTGAACTTGGGCAGCTCACTTACCCGCTCCCAGCCTCTCCTTCCTCACTCAAATGACTCGCAAGAGTTGTGGGAAGCGCAGATGAGAGAGGGGACGTAGAGCCTCTCACGGGCGCCGAGTCGCAGGAAGTCCTCGTGGCCGTTTGCTGGGGCTGTTCCGCTGGTCTCCGCTCAGCTGGACCGGACTGCTTCCTATTAAAACTCTGAGCTCTGTCTTGCCCCTGGGCTTTCAGATGATCCGTGTCCTCAGTTCTGAATGAGCAGCCTCCCGGCCGCTTGAAGCTCCATGCGGTGGGGCTGGTTCTGGTTTGTTCAGAGCTGCAGCACAGTGCTCGGTGCGTAGTAGCATAAGTATTTGTTGAAGCGGTTATGATCACCGTGAATACTTACCGAGCAAGCATGGCTTCAGAGCTCGTGCTCTGCCCCCGCGTCGTGTGTAAGCCGCCAGTGTGCCGTCCTGGGCCTGTTTTGCTGCTGTGGCTTGTTGAGCACAGGCGCACGCAGCCTGCCAGCCCCAGGGCCAGGAGCTCTACGTGCATCCTCCTCCTCGATCTTTACAGCAGTCCTCTGAGGTCGGAACTTTTATCGTGTGCATTTTGCAGATGAGGAGACTGAGCACAGAAAGGGAAAGTGCCCCAGGTCAGCGGTTCGCAACCCTTTTAGACTCTCAAAAATTATCGAGGACTGCAAGAGTTTTTGTCACATGGAGTATATCTACTGGAGTTTACTTTATTAGAAAGTAATACTCAGACAGTTAAACACTGTTACTGCAGAAAACAAAAGTGTGCTTCCTTGTTGTGTTTCCCTGTAGGCTCAAGGAAAACTTTGGGATTTCAAAATAATGATTTATTGGGTGGTAATGAGGGTACAGAAATGACAGCAGGTATAACCAAGGGTAGCCAGTAATGAGCTAATAAAGTGCAGCAAAGAAGCTGTTAATCCCTGAAAACTCACTCCAGCTCCTCATTTATATCTTAAACGTTTCCACAGCCTTAGAAAATGTGAGGGAGCCAGCCTACACGGGCACGCCTCCCATCGGGGGTCAGAGAGAGGGGTGATCATGCGCTGTGTACTCAGACTTCGAGAAGTCCACTGCTCATGCGAGAGACTGATGGGGGAAAAGACAGATGATCTTAGTATTAATACTGACATGATTTTGGCCCCACTAGTGCCCTGGAAGCGTCCGCAGAGGCACCCGCATGTGCGCGCCTCCAGTCCTGGAGCTGTGAAGTCACAGAGCTCACATTCGCCCCCAGGCCGGCCGGTCCCAGGGCCCACGCCCATGACTACTGTGCTCTGTTGCCTTGTGCGTTTTAATGAACATGCAGCATTTTGTTCTGGGCCTCAGGCTCCACCAAGTTTACAACAATGACCATGTGCAACTTTTATGATGAGAAAAATATTAAATGAAATGTTGGCAAAGAAATAGATCCTGCCATATTAGTGGTTTCCTACATTTTTCTAAAATATTTGCATGTGCCAAAATTCCAATACAAGTACTTCCATAAGGGTTGAGAACAACGAAGCTGGAGCACGTTACCCTTTCTGGACTCAGTACGTAATATAAGGACTACCAAAATTTCCAATTAAAGTAATTTTTTTCTGTTTTTACATTTGTTATATCTGTATTGCAATATTCTTTACAAACAACAAACTGCATGTATTTAAATGATACAATTTGAGGAAATCCATCGTGTGTATGCATCCATGAAACCCTCACAAGCTGTCAATCAAAACGTCAAACATTTTCATCAGCCCCCAAAGCTTCCTTGTGCCCTTTTGCAATTCATCTCTTCCACCCTCCTAGCAACTGCTGATCTGCTCTGTCACTACAGATTGCTTTGCATTTTCCAGGATTTTATAGAAATGAAAGCATACAAGATGTTCTCCTCTTTGTCAGGCTTTATTCATCAGGCATAATGATTTTGAGATGCGGTCATGTTGTTAGGTGTAGCCACAGTTGGTTCCTTTTCATTGCTGAGTAGAATTCCATCGGATGGCCTTGCCACGGATGGTGGGATCCATTCATCTCTTGATGGACATTTGGTCTGTTTCCATTTTTTGACTGTTACAAATGCAGCTGTACATATTGTACAAGTCTTTGTGCAGACATCCATTTTTATTTCTCTGGGGTAGATGCCTAGGGGTGGAATGTCTCGTTCCTCTGGTAAATGTAGACTCAATTGCGAAACTGTCTTCGACCGTGGCCACGCCGTTTTACACCCACCAGCAGTGGATGAGGCGGGAGGAACGCGCATCCTCGTCAGTGCTTGGTGGGGGTCCGTCTTTCTAATTTTAGCCATTCTAATGGGGGTGTTCTAATTATTTTGAAAATCCAGACTCTGCAGTAAGTTTCACGATATGGCTTCGGGGAGAATCCTTTACAAGAAACTTTTGACATGCCTAGGAATTAAAGGCCCGCCTGCCATCTCTCCAGTTCTTGTTCCAAAGGATCAGCTGTCAAGGGAACAACCTCAGAAAGAGGAAGAGCAGCAGCCGGATCTTTCTGAGAGGTAAAAGGAAAACAAACCGAGAGCACCTATGAAAACCACGTGCTGTTGCGGAAGGGGTAGTGAGTAAATATTTGTTGACTAAATGAGTATTTTAATATTTTATTATTTTGATAAGAAAGATGGCAAACTGTAAATACAGTGACTAGAGTTGGGGAGTTTTAGAGCGAGCAGAGATCTGAGGAATTATTCAGTCGACCTGTTAGTTTAGAGACGACAACACTGAGGTCTGAGAGCTTTGGGGACTTGCCTCAGGTTCCGCACAAACTTTGTGGCCATCCCGGGTCAAGAATCCCGGACTGCCTGCCACTCAACTGCTACACACCCGTATGCACATTTATTCTTTTCCAGAAACCTAGATTCCTTATCACTGTGTAGTATTTATTGCAAAATACACCCGTTAAACTGCTTAACATTTTCTAACGTGAATGATAGAATTATTAAAATGATTGCCAAATTGAATTGTCACAATAAAACATACTTAGTCAATCTATTAAAAATCGGGCTGATGAATATGCTAGCTCTTCTTCGTTTTGAAAAATATAGGTTTAGTCAAATGAAAAGATATTATTTTAACTTGCTTGTTCGTGGCTTGTAATAAATCCATAAGGAAAGGTGAAATGGAGAGCTACGCAGCAGACTTCACTTTGTCATAGCCCTTTTTAGAAGTTCTTAAGCAGAGGGTGATGGGGTATTTTAATGCTGTGCTAATGGAATTTGAATATCTGGGCATTTCAGTAGTAGCTGCCTTATAAATGGGCAGAAAATGGTATTTTAAGAGAAAGGTTAAATATTCATGATGAGATATGCCGGCCTTCTCGAACTGGTGAAAGAAATAATGGCAGTTAAGCATTTCATAAAATGTGGGCGTTCCTGGGGAGCCCCTAAAGTTGACAGAAGCTGCAGGAAAGGAGTCAGAGTCCGCTATCAGTGACTCCCTCGTGGCTGTTCTCCCCTCAAAATGGGGCCCGAGAGACTTCTGGAAAGCTGAAGAAATCATTGTTCTCCTGTCACGCGTACGCTCTCACACCCACACACAGCACAGCACCTCCCCCGAAATGTATATTTTATTAATCTACTTGGAATGATGGTGGACCTGCTTCCTGCCCATGGATGTTCGATGACTTCTTTGATCTCGTTACCACCAAACAGCCTGTTTAATTTAAAGCTTCAGAATGGGCTCTGACTTTTAATTTTCCAGTTCACAAAAATACCCTGTTTCAGCATGGCTGCCCAGTCACACGCCATGTTCGGGCAGCTCAGAGCACAGTGGAGGCCCTAGCACAGGGACAGCCCGTGTCCTCTTCCTGAGTGCCCCACCCCGCCTGCCCCCACACGCTGGCACCGCAGGAAGAGCTTTGACCAGACGCAGAGCTGCTGACCTGCAGTTCTGGCTCCGGAACCTACAACCAGTCCCCAGGCCACTCCATCTGTCTGAGCGTCTGGTTCCTCGTCTGAGAAGCGGGGGTGGTAATCGTCGTGGTGGGGTGTGGCGTGTGGCGTGGGGGTCCTCTAGACCTGTGGTGAGGTCTGCAGGAAGTGCCCCGCTGCAGCTGAACACCTGCTCGTGATTTCAGAGCCAAGCCCGCTGAGAGCGAAATCACCGCGACCAGGAAGATGGCCAAGGAGGAGGTGATCGAAAAACTCAAAAGCTGCATACGGCGGCAGGACCCAGTGTTCAGAAGGCGATTTCTTGACGTCAGCAAGGAACTTCATCGCAAAATTAATGCGCGTGACTTCAAGAAGGTAAGAGAATGGGTTTCTCTGTGTTTCTGTCTCTCCTGAAGAAGTTCGGTTGTTTTATTACTAACATGTGCTAAAGGATAGCCGGGAAGTTTTCAGGAAGCGTCTGTTCCCAGGCAGAGCAGATCCACTTCTAGGCATCTTTCAGCACTTTGAAAGGATTCTTTTGGCCAAAAATGTCTTTGGCAACTTTCTTAAGAGAATATTTTTGATGTGGATGTGGCCAGTTTTTGATCCTTAAGCTTTCAAAACAACAGATTCATCAATGCCTTGTTTGGTCGTCCACTGGGGAGCTGGCTTGTGCATCGTGGGGCCGAATGGGGGTGGAATGAAAGCAGCGCGGACCCCTCTCTGCCAGTGAGGCGTCCCTGTGATGCTGCGATAGCACAGCTGTGGTTTGTTCCTTGAGACGGAGGCAAAAATCTGGGAGTGAAATCTGGGACGCTCAGAGCGCTGATTTGCATGTGCTTATGGGAAGGGGTGAGCGTCTGCCAGAAAGGACACAGGCTTCTCGGGAATTCATTTAAATGATTGCTTAAAATTCCTATTATGATCCCTCTAGTAATCATCTTCAGTTATTTTTAAGGAAAGCATTTCAGCTAATGTGTAGCAGTGTCCATGTGGACAAATTCAGAAGAAGGCAATGAAATATATTTCCAAGAAGAGAATAATTGTATTAGTAGCTGCTGTTTGTCTAGTGCCTGCCCCCATGCCAGGTGCTGTCATAGGCTCCGATCGTGTCTTGTGTCCAAGCCTGCTGACAGCAGCCCCCTGGAGGACAGCTGGAGGAGGGGGCGGGGCTTGAGGCACAGAGGTGGGATCAGATAGCTATCGAGACTGTCCGGAGCCTGCTCTCCCCAACAGAGCGAAATAGAAGGTGTGCAGGACCCGATGCTGTGTGAGCGTGTGGGGCGTGGTGAGGAAGATGGATTCAAGAAATACTTAGGAATAAGAGTTCGGGAGTAAGGGAGAGGAAAGGCTCAAGGATGGTTCCCAGGTTTCTGGTTTGGGGAACCAGGTGGCTGATAATTAGTCACTGATGACTCTGATGAGAGCAATTTCTGTGGAGTGAATGAGGGTAAGTGGGTGCGAATCATCTAACTCTCCCAGGGCACCTTGTCCTAGGTTCTGGTTCCCCCCCAGTCACCTGGCACCAGTCCTGACCCTTAGTACGTAATAGTCTCCAACGATCACGGTGCTCGGCGTTCTTGATTCAGAGTCAGTTCATGGGTTCACAGAAACTAAGAACCAACCTTAGTCTGCCTCTGAGTTTTCAGAGAGGGGAACCGGTTACCTTAGAGAAGAGCAGTAGGTGGTGGCACAGCAGGGACTGACACCCATGACTGGTGACTCCGAGGACCGCTTCCTGCCCCTGCTCACCTGAGAACACCTTTAGGTCCATGAGCTCAGCTGCAGGTTCTTCCATCTTTCAGCTTTATCTGCCGTCGACCAGCCAGTGACTCCCTCGTTTACATCTCTGGGTCGCGTCCCAGACCGCTCTCCTGAAGCTTCAGGCTCAGGTACCCACCTGCCTACTGGACTTCTCCAGGCGGGTGTCGGAGAGATGCCCACATTCTCACCAAAGCCGTTCTGCCCCAGCCTTTCTGTTCTCAGTCGAGGACAACCTCTTTTCCAATCCTCAGGGCTAAAACCTGGGCGTCTTTCTTGACTCTCTTCTTTCTTTACACCCACATCCAATACATCAATAGAGCCTGTTGGCCCTTTTGAAAATCATCCCAGAACACGATGACGCCCCCCCACCACCCCTGCTTCCAACCGTCACCTCTTGCCGGTTGTTACCGCAGCCTCCTCCTGGTCTCCTGCTCCCGGCCTTGCCCCACCACCATTTATTCTCAACCCGGCGCCAGAGCGACCCTCCATGAGTCAGTCAGAGCGGGCCACTCCTGCTCAGAGCTCTCCAGTGGCTCCTCACCTTACTCGAATGAAAACCAGAGCCCTGGAAAGGCCTAGAGGGCCCCACATGACCCAACCACCCATCACCTCTCTGGCTTCAAGTCTCGCCACCCTCCACCTTGCTTAGCACACTGCAGCCACACCGGCCCCCAGCTCTTCCTCAGACACAGGTCACTCCCACCTTTGCACTGGCCGTCCCCTCTGTCTGGAATGCTGTTCCTCCCATATCTGCCTGGCTGTCCATTCACCTCCTTCAAGCCTTTGTCCAATGGCACTTCTCCCACTGAGGGACCCTGAGAGCCCCATGGCAAATCCAACCTGCCCTCCTGCCTTACCTCCTTTACTTGAGTCTTCTTCGGCAGCATCATCTCCTTAGCCATAGGTATCGTATTTGTAAGCCTTTTGTTTGTTTCCTTATCTTGCTAGTTTCTTGTTTTCCTCCATTAAAACATGTGCTCCAAAGGTAGACATTTTTATCTCTTTTGGACAGTGCTGCATCCCAAGGGCTTGACACTTAGTAGGGCCAGTAAGCGTTTGTTGAATGAATAGATGAATTTGAGCAGTAACTAGAATGCCCAGTGGAGCCCTGAATGGATGCCATGATAGATGGATGAGGGCTGAGGGAAGCGGGGTTTCAGAAGCCCACTGGGATTCCTAGACATGAAGCTGGTTGCCACACCTGTCCGTGGCAGAGCCCCAGACCCACCCTAGCCCCTTCCCTGCCCCTGAGTTTCTCTGCACTGGGGACGACCTTGAGGGGCAGCTCCTTGAACAGATGTTCTTCTGCTTGCTTCCCGGCGGCACCTGCGTGCCTCTTCCTCTCCCCGTTTCCTGGCTTCCTGGAGACTTCCCTGCCTCCCGGAGACGTGCGCCTGGGAAGGGGCAAAGGGAGAAGGAAGCCACGAAAGACCCACATGCCAGGAGAGAAGTTCGTTGTTTTAACATGGAAATTAATGACCGATTCACTGTGAACCCAATTAGGCAGATTATCCTCTGGTTTCCCTCCAAGTGACTTGCTGGGTTTAACCTTTGGGAAGCATCCTGTCGTGACCAGCCCTTTAGCTGGAAGGTCCCCAACTGTGGGGTGATTTAAACAGTCTGCTAGGGACCTGGTTTTGAACATCATAAGCTGGTAACTTCAAGGCATCATGTCAATGTAAATTGTCCTTGTTAACTGGAGAGATTGTTCACAGATCAGGATAATCCTCCTGCCAGTGCAGTCAGAGCTAGAAAATCACGGGCCTATTCTGTAGGAAGAAAGAATTCAGGTCAGACCTAATGCGGGGCGCCCAGATGAGAAAGGTTGGGAAGGTTGGCCTTCGGCGCCAGGGAGAGCTTGGAGCCCACTTCTCTAGAGATCTGTAGCGTGATGACAACGGTAGTGATTCTGTGATGGAATCAAGATGAGGCTGTGACTGTCACTGCAGCTCCCACTCATTGAGCCCCTCAGTGATCAGGGGCTGTGGACATGGCTTCACGGATGCCGTTCCTCATCCTCACGGGAGCCCCGCGAGGTAGAGGTTCCGTGATGCCCGTTTCACAAGCGAGGAGACCAAGGCTTAGCAGTTATGGCAGTGGCTCCGCGTTGCTCAGCTGGGAAGCTGTTCAGGCCCTTGGGTTTGAACCCACGTCTGTCTGTAGCAGCCTCAGGCCCTTCGCCGGGTGTAATACAGCCAGCTGGGCGTAGTGTAGGCTGGCTGGGTGTAACTCATGGCAACTCGAGGTTGTATCCGGCCTCAGAGTTTTGTGAGAAGGACACTAATTTTGATAGGAACGCCCCTGTTCCTGTCACTTTGGTTGTGGATATGCAACGTTCTTGCCCTCCTCTTCCCCCAAACCTGTATCACCCCCGTTAGGATAGTGACTGGTTGCAGAGTTCCATCCCGGGGGAAGTGGGAGAGGAGCTCTAGGTCGCATATATCCGCGTGCCCAATTATGCGTGCACACAGTTGTTCGCCATTTGAACGTAGGCCCTCTTGGCCGCTGTCCTGGCTGCCTTGGCCTCTAAATCAGAAGCGCTAATTATTTATTCTCACCAGCGTCGCCTTCCCGGTGGCAGGGCGGAAGGTGGTTGGCTACACACGTGTGATGAAGGAGAAGTGTAAGAATGGAACCCAGAGCTCAGTGGGACCTCAGGGTCCTCAAATCTGTTGAGGCCCCACAGTGTCCCGGCAGGACACTGTGACTTGTTTTCACCACTGCGGTCAGGAAGGTTCTGTCTACTAGACAAGGTCTGTTTGCTGATGAACACTCTGTCTTCCCCCCGTTGTCGCTCTTTAATGTAAGCGACATGAGAGTCCCTGATTATGTGAGACAACCAGGCAGCACACTGAGCTGGCAGTCCTGACCAAGGCCGAGCCTTTGGGGTTTTGGTGACTCAGTGCACTTTTCGTGGTTCAACGCGTCATTTCCACTGGGGAGTGGGGGAGGGAACTCTTCTTTCTGGAACTGTGCCAGGCCTGCTCCGGTATTTTGCATCATACCTTAAATCCTTTCTCGCAACAACCCTGTAAGCCGTGTGCTTTCTCCCAGGAAATCCTCCTCTCCCAGTTCGTTGCTCTGGCCACTGTGCCACATAGCCTGTGACTTTGGCATATTTTGAATGTGTCATTTTATTTAAATAATGAGTCAAGAACTGGTGGTGTTGCAGGAAAACTGTTTTTGAACTTTAGAGTGGTTTTGAATCTTTATGTTTCTTCCCTAGATACTTTTTCTTGTCCTCTCCCTCTCCTTTATGTGCTGTTAGCAGCAAACCCCCAAAAACAGTATCTTTAATAAGAGAGAGGGGTGTTTTCCTCTCTTGTAACAAGGAGTTCAGAAGTTGTCTGTTCAAGGCCCATGCGGCAGCTCTCTGCTGTCTTCAGAGACCCAGACTGTTTCTAGCTTTCTACTCTTTCAGTCTCGTCCTCATGCATGCAAGGTAGCTGCTGGAGCACCAGCCAACACACACGTTTCAGGCATAAAGAAGGGGAAAGATGAAGGGCAAAAGGCTTGAGCCAGACAAATCTTTCTTTTTTAGAGGGCTTTTCTGAAAGCTTCCCCTGGCACCTTACATTTTACATTCTACTTACATTTTATTGATCAGGACT